TATAATACATACTCAATGTCTGATTACTGAGCCAGTTGATTATTCATTGCATATTTGGTTGCACTTCTTTTCTACTATTCCAAATGTAAAAAGCTTCKATATGCTTAGTAGGTACAAGATTACCAACACTCACCTTTCCTGCGAAATTGCAGTGAACGTGTAACGTTTATGATGTGGGATGCGTTTATGTGCGTGGATGAAGAACAAAAGAGGCCGGGAGCCGCACTAAGGGGTATTTGATGCAAAAAACCGGTCATAAGTTGTCTTACTAAACTTCGCCAAATAGTATTTACGCCGCATGTTTTACTATTTACAATAACCGCTCCAACCTGCGCACCCCTCCCCCGCCCGCTTTTTACCTCGCTCTCGCCACGGATCCAGTCGGAACCCAATCATTGAGTGTCGCGTGTCGCTGTTCGCGGCGTTCTCGATTATTTACATAATTTCCCTTGGTTGATACGGCTGCGTGTGGAGATTTACTTGAAAATTATTTATTGAATATGGAAGTAAAAGGTATGTACTTATGATTAAGACGTATAACGTCAATTTATTCTTAAATTTAAGCATTTAAACTGATGTTGTTAGTTGCCTTTGCAAGAATGTAGTATTCTTACAAAAATGGTATAACATTATTGTTTTTGATTATTTGTCGGGATTTGTCGCGACAGAATTCTGGTACGGAAATGTAATTTGGACCTTCTTCTATCCAAAACAGAAGTAAAATTTTCCCCCAACCCACCCCATTTTTATAGTTTTTTTTTTAAGTGCACGGTGTAATTCAATACAAAATAGGATGTTAAAAGGCTTTTTTTTTCAAATATTCTGCAGCAATGGTGAAAAATATCACCCGAATGGAATTATACGATATTATAAAGGAGTACAAAGGAAAAAAATGGACTAAAATTCACCTATCTGGAAGATAGAATTGCTCAGTTGATGTCATGCCCAACAGAGGATAGAAATGTTTTATCTCGTTCTTTGAGGCATTTCTAGACAGATTTTAAACAAAAATGGTCAGCAGCTCGTAACACTGATGAGAAGTTCTTAAAAAATAAAGTAGAATGGCTAAGAACATCATTAGAACTTCCTTCGTGGTCGCACAAGCCTGGTCGTCCAGTCAAAGAGTTTCGTGAATTAAGCGAAAAGAGTAAGCGGCGCAGAACTG